GACCCCACCCCCATGCTCACTCCCCACCCCAACCCTGACCCCACCCCCATGCTCACTCCCCACCCCAACCCTGACCCCCACGCTCACCCTCCACCCTAACCTCACCGCCATGCTCACTCCCACCCCAACCCCGACCCCCACTTTCCACCCCAACCTCACCCTCACCTCACTCCCCACCCCAACCTCACCCCCATGCTCACTCCCGACCCCAAGCCCCCATCACCTACCTGCCCTTACTGCCCTGGAAGAAGTCCATGGCGAAGCCGAAGTAGCTGTCGTTGGGCCCAGCATAGATGGTGGGACGGTCCGAGTGCAAGTTGAAGGCCCGCACTGGCCACGGCCCTGGGGGAGCCAGCAGCACCTGGACCCAGCACCAGAGCCAGAGGGGAGGCAGCGGCAGCCACAGTCCCTGAGCTCCAGCCATTGTCCTGGCGTTCCTCCTCCTCTGCCTGGCAGGGATCGAATGCTCCAGGCAGGCCACTGCGAACAGCCCAGCCTGGTTGACGTGCTTCCGCCCCGTCAGCCCTGGCCGCCAGCAGGTCCTTATCAGAGGGGATGCAGCCACTTCCAGTGGGTCTTGGGCTCAGCCAGCGCTGCCCAGAGGGGCTGGGGAGAGCTCCCACCTGAGAGGGGAGCTGCACAGCTCCAGCCCTGCCAAGGCCCAGGGGGTGGGATTGGGTGGAAAGGCCCAATGGCTTAGAGAGGAGACCAATGAGAGGACATGATATGAGTCCAGGGGACAGCAAGAAATTTCCTGGTGCAAGTGCTGGAGGAACCAACTAGGGGCAGAGCTTTTCTTGACCTGCTGCTCACAAACACGGAAGAATTAGTAGGGGAAGCAAAAGTGGATGGGAACCTGGGAGGCAGTGACCATGAGATGGTCGAGTTCAGGATCCTGACACAAGGAAGAAAGGAGAGCAGCAGAATACGGAGCCTGGACTTCAGAAAAGCAGACTTTGACTCCCTCAGGGAACAGATGGGCAGGATCCCCTGGAAGAATAACATGAAGGGCAAAGGGGTCCAGGAGAGCTGGCTGTATTTTAAAGAATCCTTATTGCGGTTGCAGGAACAAACCATCCCGATGTGTAGAAAGAATAGTAAATATGGCAGGTGACCAGCTTGGCTTAACAGTGAAATCCTTGCTGACCTTAAACGCAAAAAAGAAGCTTACAAGAAGTGGAAGATTGGACAAATGACCAGGGAGGAGTATAAAAATATTGCTCAGGCATGCAGGAGTGAAATCAGGAAGGCCAAATCACACTTGGAGTTGCAGTTTACAAGAGATGTTAAGAGTAACAAGAAGGGTTTCTACAGGTATGTTAGCAACAAGAAGAAAGTCAAGGAAAGTGTGGGCCCCTTACTGAATGGGGGAGGCAACCTAGTGACCGAGGATGTGGAAAAAGCTAATGTACTCAATGCTTTTTTTGCCTCTGTCTTCACAAACAAGGTCAGCTCCCAGACTGCTGCACTGGGCAGTACAGCATGGAGAGGAGGTGACCAGCCCTCTGTGGAGAAAGAAGTGGTTCAGGACTATTTAGAAAAGCTGGACAAGCACAAGTCCACGAGGCCGGATGTGCTGCATCCGAGGGGGCTAAAGGAGTTGGCGGATGTGATTGCAGAGCCATTGGCCATTATCTTTGAAAACTCATGGAGATCGGGGGAGGTCCCGGATGACTGGAAAAAGGCTAATGTAGTGCCCATCTTTAAAAAAGGGAAGAAGGAGGATCTGGGGAACTACAGGCCAGTCAGCCTCACCTCAGTCCCTGGAAAAATCATGGAGCAGGTGTGACGAAGTGGGGGGTTTTCTTGTTTTCTGTCGAGTTTCAATGGTTTGCATGTGGAGGGGGTGGGACCCAGTTTCCCTGGGTGTTACTGGTTTAATGAGGTGAGGGGAGAGGGAATGTGTTTTGCAGAGGACCAGACAGAGGACTCGGGGACCCAGCTGATGGCCAGGAGGATGGATACCCCAGCGACTGGTGACCTGGCAACCCGGAGGCCCAGCTGAGGAGATGCAGCTGGTTCTGGCCAGTGGGCGGACAATGGGCTGCAGAGTGAGGACCCTGTGACCTAACCAGCCGGTTCCAGCCAGAGGACAAAAGCGAGGAGAGGAGGCCCCGGTTTACAACCCTGTTTATCTGGAGAGAAGACAATGGACAGAGGCAGGGCCTGGGGCCGGTGATCTCAGATGCCCAGCTGGGAGCAGGGGGGCTCTGGGCTGGAGAGGGGGAGCAGGCAGAGCCCACCTGGATGCAGAGAGACTGGGATGTGCTGGGCTGTGGGAGGCCAGGCCTGAGGCCCTGAGAGTTTCCTGTGCTGTGTTCAATAAACCCTCCTGTTTCATGCTGGCTAAGAGTCACTCTGGTCTAGGGAACAGGGGGGACATCAACCCCTTCGGGGGGTGGAGTCCCTGGGGGTCCAGAGCGAGTGGACTCCCCGAGGGGGCCCACGGCGAGAAACAGGTGTGCTAGGGCTCCGAGAGGTGCAGATCCAGAAGGTGGAGGGGCCTGACCCCGAGAGAGAGTGGACCCCCGAGAAGGGCTGTCTCACTAAAAGGGGGTCCTAGAGTGGGCACGATCTGTGAGTCCATGACAGCAGGTCCTCAAGGAATCAATTCTGGAGCACTTAGAGGAGAGGAAAGTGATCAGGAACAGTCAGCATGGATTCACCAAGGGCAAGTCATGCCTGACTAACCTAATTGCCTTCTATGAGGAGATAACTGGATCTGTGGATGAGGGGAAAGCAGTGGACGTGTTATTTCTTGACTTTAGCAATGCTTTTGACATGGTCTCCCACAGTATTCTTGCCGGCATGTTAAAGTATGGGCTGGATGAATGGACTATAAGGTGGATAGAAAGAAGGCTAGATCATCGGGCTCAACGGGTAGTGATCAATGGCTCCATTTCTAGTTGGCAGCCAGTATCAAGCAGAGTGCCCCAAGGGTCGGTTCTGGAGCCGGTTTTGTTCAATATCTTCATTAATGATCAGGAGGATGGCATGGATTGCACTCTCAGCAAGTTTGCAGATGACACTAAACTGGGAGGAGTGGTAGATACGCTGGAGGGTAGGGATAGGATACAGAGGGACCTAGACAAAATAGAGGATTGAGCCAAAAGAAACCTGATGAGGTTCAACAAGGACAAGTGCAGAGTCTTGCACTTAGGACGGAAGAATCCCATTCACTGTTACAGACTAGGGACCAAGTGGCTAGGCAGCAGTTCTGCAGAAAAGGACCTAGGGGTTACAGTGGACGAGAAGCTGGATATGAGTCAACAGTGTGCCCTTGTTGCCAAGAAGGCTAAGGGCATTTTGGTCTGTATAAGTAGGGGCATTGCCAGCAGATCGAGGGACGTGATCATTCCCCTCTATTCGATATTGGTGAGGCCTCATCCGGAGTACTGTGTCTGGTCTTGGGCACTACACTACAGGAAGGATGTGGAAAAATTGGAAAGAGTCCTGTGGAGGGCAACAAAAATGATTAGGGGTCTGGAGCACATAACTTATGAGGAGAAGCTGAGGGAACTGGGATTGTTTAGTCTGCAGAAGAGAAGAATGAGGGGGGATTTGATAGCTGTTTCCAACTACCTGAAAGGGGGTTCCAAAGAGGATGGATCTAGACTGTTCTCAGTGGTAGCCGATGACAGAACAAGGAGTAATGGTCTCAAGTTGCAGTGGGGGAGGTCTAGGTTGGATATTAGGAAACACTATTTCACTGGGAGGGTGGTGAAGCACTGGAATGGGTTACCTAGAGAGGTGGCTTGACAAAGCCCTAGCTGGGATGATTTAGTTGGGGATTGGTCCTGCTTTGAGCAGGGGGTTGGACTAGATACCTCCTGAGGTCCCTTCCAACCCTGATATTCTATGATTCAAGTGAAATTACAAGTGGGGAAATACACAACATGTCATTAGCCTGTGGATGTGGTTGTGGCCAGGAACCTAGCACGATTCAGAAAGGGACTGGCCATTTCTATAGGAAACAGGCAGATTCATAGCTGGCCTCATTAGTGCTAACAGTCACTGGACTGTGGAGGTGAAACCTGCTGCAGGGTTAAGCCAATCTCTGCCCGTCAGAGCCCAGGCTGAGGCCGGGGGTGATCATCACACAGCTGACACTGCAGTGTTCCTGCCCCTTCCTCTGCAGCAGCTGGTGCTGCCCGTGTCAGAGCCAGGGCACGGGGCCAGATGGACCCACAACATGGAGGTGGCGTCCCCGGGGCTTTCTCACCCCTTCCTGGCCAGAAGTGTCCCACTGGGCTGCCTGCTGCCCTTCCTCAGCACCAGGCGCAGCCTCACCCTCACCACAGTGTCGCCACCGCACTGGCAGGTGGAGAAAAGGGCCAAAGTGGCCCAAAGCCAGGAGTGATTTGGGGTTCCCAGCTTGAGGCACCCCCAGGGGCCCGCGCTGGCCAAGGGGGCTGGTCAGCAGGCCTGTCTCCTTGTCCCCCTGGGACTCGCCCAGCAGGCTCACAGGGTGGGTGTCCCCAGGGGGCAGACGGGGAGCTGAGGCAGAGGGTGTGACTTGCTCCAGGTCACACCTGGCTGAGCTGGGAATCGCTCCCCTTCACCCAAGCTGGGCCAGCTGCCCTAGCCCTGGCCATGCCCCCAGAACTCAGCCAGGCACAGAAAGTAGCACCAGGAGGCCAGCAAGGAGTGGCCTGGGGACCCTTCCTCAGAGCAGCAGGGGGCCCGGCTCCAGGACCAGGCAAAACCGCCGGGGAGGGTCAGGGCGCAGTGGTGCCCTGGGATTCCTGCTCAGAGCGGGAGCTCGCACGGCAGAAGTCACAAGGCCCTGGGGTGGGGGGAGCCGTTGTAGGGTGACCAGATGTCCCGATTTTATAGGGACAGTACCGATATTTGGGGCTTTTTCTTATATAGGCTCCTATTACCCCCCACCCCCTGTCCCGATTTTTCACACTTGCTATCTGGTCACCCTAAGCCGTTGTGCCTGCTGCTAGAGTCCCAGTGGGCCCCAGAGCCACGTTGTCGGGCAGCTGCAAGGCAAAGCCAGACGCTGGAGTCGGGGGCTCTCCCTGTCCCCTCATCGCACCCCCAGGAAGCTGCTTTGATGCCAGCACGGAAGCTCCTGCAGCACCTCGTCTGAGGTGAATGGTGCAGCTGGGGCTGTGCTGAGCTCAGGCTGCCAGGTTCTCCTTCCCCTCCTAGCCCAAACGCTGTGTTGGGGGGTGCTCTCACCCAGGGGTGGCTGTGTCTGGTGGGTGGTGTGGGGCTGTCTGGGATGGGGGTCTATGTCGGGGGGTGCTCTCACCCAGGGGTGGCTGTGTCTGGTGGGTGGTGTGGGGCTGTCTGGGGTGGGGCTAGGTGTCGGGGGGTGCTCTCACCCAGGGGTGGCTGTGTCTGGTGGGTGGTGTGGGGGTCTGTGTCGGGGGGTGCTCTCACACAGGAGTGTCTGTGTCTGGTGGGTGGTGTGGGGGTCTGTGTCGGGGGGTGCTCTCACACAGGGGTGTCTGTGTCTGGTGGGTGATGTGGGGCTGTCTGGGGTGGGGCTAGGTGTCAGTGGGTGCTCTCAAACGAGTGGCTGTGTCTGGTGGGTGGTGTGGGGCTGTCTGGGGTGGGGGTCTGTGTCAGGGGGTGCTCTCACCCAGGGGTGGCTGTGTCTGGTGGGTGGTGTGGGGCTGCTCTCACACTGCACCCCAGAGATGGCTGCATTTCAGGGTGTGGCTGAAACTCTCCATAGCCGGGGCTGACATGCCCAGCATATGGATGGAGGGACGGGGCTACTGGCGGAGTTGGGGATTTCAGGCTGCCCGGCGTGAGCCCAGAGTGGGGATGACGGGGAAGGTTAGCCATGGAGC